AGAAAATAAATTCCTATACCGATATAACGTACAATGTTTCGGCCGGCAGTGGTGGTGGTATGATCAAATCTCGTGATTTTGTTAATTTACGCTGTTGGCGTTTGGTGGTCGATGGTAAAATCTGTGACGAAAGTAGTTTAGATCCCGGCTCATCCGATGAAGAAATGCTTAATAATTCCTGTGAAGGTAGTGTCTCCACAATATCCGATGGTGAGGGTACAATAACACCCCAGCCCAGCAGTGTTGGTAGTTGCCGTACAAGTAGTGCTACAAATATGCCCGATAGCGGCAGAGCATTTAATACGCTGAGCAAAAGTTTGGGAGCCAAAGATTTTTCAGATGTTTTACAGTTAACGTTGAACACCGAACCGCCACCTTTAGATGATGAATTCGAAGATGCTAAAGATCACATTGAAGATGAGGAAAAGGTTGCAGTGGTGGTGGCTACAAAAAGCAAAGAACCTGTAAAACCACCTGCACGAGGTAGGGTGTGGGTTAATGCTGCCATTAGTGTGGAATATGATAAGATACCAGTATATCCCAAATATACGAGAGGTGAAAATCTTGTATCCGGCTTTGCTATGCATGAGGTGGAGTCCAATCCGGATGTTTGTATATTCGAATGGATATTGTGTATTGATTTGAAGGGCTATATACCACGTTATGTGTTGGATTCGGTAAGCCATTGAGGACAAATAAACAAATTTCATCGAATTACACATTTCTTCTTCCTCCTCTCTTTCCAGGCCTATACAACATTCATGACAGATTATATAACATATTTACGTAAATATATTAAAGAATTACGTGAACGACGTCGACGCCGCACATTGCCCAGAAATTAAGCATGTATAGTTTTTTTACTCAAAACCCCCGCTGCTGGTTTAAGCTCTACTATTAAGTAAATTGCCCAAAAAAAAAAAAACAACAAGTCCCAAAAAACACATCATTCGAAAGGCCTATTTGTTGTAAAAGACAAGTAAAAGAAAAAAAATATATATTGAAAAAAAAAGAACTGATTCGCATGTATTTCTCTAAGTATCTCTCATTTTTCCTTCTTCTTTGGATTTAAAAAATATCTCAAGTTTTTTAAAGAGATTTTTTTGTTTGTTCGTATTTCACATGTGTATATTTCATTTTTATATCGTTTTATATTGTTTTCTCTTTTATTAGCATATAATTAATCGCAAATTGTAAATTATAATTTTCATAAGCTCTAAACAATAAAAATATTTTTATTACAAAATGTATTTATCCAATTCTGTTATATATATATATATATATGTTAAAAGGTGTAATGGTATTAAAGGGACATCGAAGGAGTTCAAAATTCAATTGATATAAAAAATATCTCTGAAGATTTAGAAACAAAAATTGAAATGTTTTAAAACCGAGGGAGAATGATACGAAGGATCTGCTTTTCAAAGTAGTATTTATCAAAACTTATTCCAATTAATGAAAACTAATATAACTCTTTCAGACCCAGTTTAATCAATTGTGAGATTTGGCAATTTTTAAGAGAAGGTAGTATATACATAATACATAACCGGTATTGATACTTTCAATGAACTTAACTTGTGCTTCCTATTTAAATTCAGATAAATCTTGAGACATTGCACATAGGTTCGTTGTGCCAAAGTTCATTGGCTCGTTCGTCAAAGAACGCCTCAAAATTCCCTAAAAGATGGGTGGTGTTTGATTGAGTCAGCGATTGCTTGATCTATAGATTGAGAACTCAGACTTGATGTTAGATGATTTGATGGCTTTGAGAGCCATCTGACTATCCACAAAAGAAGCTACCGGTTCAACGATATCTGTATTCAGACTTTTTATCAATTCTGCTGCCTTCCAAATCGCGAAAATTTCAGCTTGGAAAACAATATCATTTCTATCCAACTTGTAGGTAAGCTCAAAGCCTAGTCTTTCACAGTAGATGCCAGCGCCTGTACCTTCTTCCATGTTGGATCCGTATAAAAAACCAGACCGTCCAGAGGAGGGTTATTAGGGTTCCAGTCGTCTTTTTGCTTAATCCAGGTTCTGGACTTATCTCAAAAATAAGAAACGCAGTTACTTCCATTACCTGCAGTCACCGATCTTTCGAGGTAGGATTGGCGGCACAATTTGATAAGTACAGCGTACTGTACCACATGCTGTGCAGACAACAATTCGTGTCCATTTGAAACGCCTTCAGCATCATGAACGCAATTATGCCAAACCTACTCGATGGGTGGAGTGTGAGTTCCGAGGACGGCATTCAATCTGTATTCATTAAGCTCTGGCGTAACTGCATCCGTATGAATGCTATTTAGACTTCGATAGACAACTTCATCTAGAGCATGTGTCGGCGTTTGGGCGCACATGTGCACTCACAGAAAGCGCGATCGTAAACAACCACCAATCAGTCTCGTTTGAGCTGTTGATGAAGGTGGCTGTGCCGTCGCTTTTTTTTATAATTTTGATCGTAGCAATGTATTATTGCAGACGAAGTTTGTCGAGAGAGCGAAAGTTACTTTCGCACACTTTCTGTCTGTGTGACCAAACAAATGCACATATATATATATATATGTTGCCGACCTAGAGGCTCCCTTTTATAACGTTAGACCTCCCTCTCTAGATCATACAGATCGTTCCTTCTACGCCTGACTGAGGGAGTTTTATCCATTTGAGGGTTAGTATGATTATCCTAACCATCACATTAAAAGCATATTGCTATGCTAATGTAAGGAGATGATCTTCGTATCCTCATGAAGATGGTCCACTGGCGTTAGGAGGAGGCACCCTGTTGCAGTTTTCTGGGCGGCGTTTGTTCCTACTGAATGGGACCCCGAACATTTTGGGGTAGTTGAAGCGTCTTGACCGGCACATTCAATGACATTCTCATCTTGGAAGTCCATGTGGTGAATAATATGGCCTAAGATTTCGTGGCGGATATTAAAATATTCAACCATACACATATCGCTCATTTGCTGCAAACAAATTGATTTTGCAGAAAATACGTTTTAACAACCTTATATGGGACAGAGAACTTCTACAGCTTCAAAATCAGAGATATTCATCTGCAAACAATAAAGTTTGATATATGTAGGTAACAATTCTACTTCATTAACTCAAAAATTAGCATTTTTAATTTACCCCGGTCTTGCAGCAAATATTGGCACATTGATGAAATCCCTGCTACGAGGTTTTGACTTCTTATTCTGGAACTCCACGTACGACTGATTGACTTCACGCATATAATTGATTATCTAACGTTTCAATCTTGAACGGATGGAGGTGTTTCCGATACCCGCAAAAAGTATTGCATGATTGGCAAATGCTTTGGGTAGGTTCAGCGCTACCAACACTGCTCTATGGCACGGTCGGTTCTAGTTAAGACCTCGACGTGTGTGTGAAGATGGCGTGTAACGCTATTGTTGTGCTGTGTTCGCTAATACAGGAGTGAATTAATGACTCAAGAGTCTTCACTACTGGTGACACAAGTGAAATCTGCCTATATAATTCAAATTTACCGACATTATTGCATGGATTTAGTAGCGGGACCACTCTGCCCATTGTCCAGGCTTTGGGAATGATATGGGTGGCTATCGACAAATTAAGGTCTTTGGTCACGCACTTAACTGCTTTGCGCTACGAATGACACATGCAACATCACCCATTGTAAACTGTGGTGGTGTCTCCTCGGCGGGAAGATATCTTATACGACATACTACTCTTCGCTTCGCCCTGTTGCTCAAAAAACTGCTGGTTAAAATAACTGGAAGTTTCGTCGTCAGGTGCTTCCACCATTTATTCTGCTTATGCTCCGCTGACCCCCAACGTAAGTTCTTTGACCTTGGGATCTGCTGGGTTAGGTCGAAGGATCTCATACCGCTCATTTGCTAGACCAACTGCCTCTGCTGGAAAATTAGGCCTTATCTTTGGTATTCGATAAGCAGGTACAAATCTGGCGCCTGTAGTTGTAAGGACGTTGCCTATTTTTTTTTTGCTACCCGTACATCAGAAGGAATGGAAAGTTCACTGAAGTGCTGATTGGTGAACTCTCAGAATCTTTGCCAGTTGGCTTTCCTATGGTTAAAGAAAGCGCGGCGTTCAGAGATGATGAAATCGGGAGGTCTGCTTATGGAGACGATAATGGAGAGGTGTTGTAACGCACTTCACAGCTATTAATGGAGGGTATGTACACGTTAAGCATCTCTACCTCGGCAGTACCACATTTAAATGCTCTCACTAATGTTAAGTTCATGCGAGATAAGCTGTATTGAACAGAGTGGTGCATAAGGAATGCTAGGCCCCACCTGTGCGATCCTTCCTCACAACGCTGTAGGCTACAATTTTCATTGAGCTTGATTTCCAGCACCGACGCGACCAAGATATTCTTCGGATTGATAAAGTCCACTATCTCGTCTATTTTTACTCGAAGACCGTTGAAATTAAATTGCAGAAACGATACACCATCAGGAGTAGGATTGCGCTGTAGCTACACGAGGCAATGTAATCCCTTTCGGTGTAGTGCACCCACTCCCTTCACCCATTACATCCAAACCGAACCGAACCACGGTATGGATTTTGTTCGATCCCAGCACGGACCATAAGAATACGGATATGTTACTCCCAAAAGCAAAAAGTGCCAGCAATGAAAAGACGGGTTGAGAATCAAGCTGCTGTCATAATTTGTTCACCTGAGCTGACTGAACATAGATTCGATTGTCATGGGATCGAAAATGGTAGTTGTATATGGTATCACAATGTCGATCTTGTTCGTCTAAAGCCTTTACTTACTGCTTAACAATTGAATACAATATTACATACATATAACAAATGGAATTCACGTGTTGTAATTCAAATTTAATTTATGTCAATTATAAACACACGTTCGGTGAATCATAAATTGGACCTTTGTTACAAAAATTAAGTAATAAGTGCTACTCAGTTAAAATTATAACTTTATTTTTATATACATAACACTGATTAAAGCGGAAGATTGCAAAAACAAATTCGGAATGTTTACAAAATTATGTCTTCGTGGTGTGGCAGCAATTTTGGGAGCCAAAACTATTCACCTCGAAAAGGACGAATATCAACAATTGGGTCTAGATTGCGTGCGACAAGTTTATGATTTATTGTTATCGGAGGATTGGAAATTGATTAAGAAAACTAAAGAATGTGACACTGTCAGTAGCCTGGAAGATTCGCGATTGGGAAAAGTTTATAAGTTGAGAGTGAGTAATTTTTTGAAATGAAAATAATCGTTTTCATTGATACTTAAAAAGAATAAATAAAGAAAACAATTAAGGAGAACAAGTTTTTAAATCAAATTAATAGTGTCATATTAATTATCCTGCCAAGGCATTGGCGAATGCACTACTCTATGACGTTGCCGATATACCGAAGTGGAACCCTACCGTATTAGAATCTATCAAACTCAAGGTAAGATGGCACCAAACAGTCATAAGTTTTTGTATTTATCTTTTTTCCCTGCAGATTTTTAATGATCGAAGTGATATTACCTATCATGTTTCTGCCTCACATGTTGGTGGTTTAATCAAGTCACGAGACTTCGTTAATCTTAGATCGTCTTGTCTAATAGAAGATGGAAAATTAAGCAATGAAAGTTTGATATTAAATAGCGAGGAACAGGAACGTCTTAGAATATTTTGTGCCAACAATGTTATTCGGAATGAATCCGAAAACACATTAAGAGCTATAAAAGAGCATCCACGAAGTTTCGGGCGCCGTGTATGGATTGCTGCTGCATGTAGTGTGGAACGTAATGAGTTCCCCACAAATTCCAAATTTATTAGAGGACATAATTTCCTATCGGCCTTTGTTATGCATGAAGTGGAGGAAGATCCCAACGAGTGCATATTTGAGTGGATTATGTGTATCGATCTGAAAAGTAGTTTACCAAGTTATGTTGTAGATAAGGTAAGACACTTCAGCATATCATTATATTTAAATAGATTTGTTATTTATTTGATTCTGTAGGGGTTTAGAACTGCCATGATCGATTTTGCCAAATATCTGCGGAATTATATTACTGTGTTGAGGCATAAACATTGCACATAATAAGAAAAATAAATGTTAAAATATAATATATATTTTTAGCAAAACATATATATAATTAGATATTGTAATCCCATCACTCTAATTGCAATGAGCCTTCATTCTAAGCTATGGGTCATCCCGTTGAATATTTTTTTTAAAACGTTGAATATTTATAAAAAACCTGGGAATTAAATATTTTTAAAAATGTTTAGTAAAGTTTTCATTTGGGACAATGACTTACAAAATTACAGACACTCAGGTTGGAAAACTGGGACAGGAACCTAAAAAACCGAAAATTAAGAGGAGAGATTTGTATGGGAGCTAATTAAAAACGTAAATATTCAAAACATTCTGGAAATAAGTTTTTTAAACAACATGATTCCGGAAAGTGAAATAACAGCGCCTTAGGGAATAAAACCTTACAAATGCCGAAAGTTGGAGGATCATTATTTTCTAGAAAGATGTTTGTACGGTAATAGAACCCGGAATGATTATAATTACTTTCTTTGAAAAATGTAAAATTTGGAAATGGGGTGGAATCCTTATATGAAAATATAGAAAGATTGTACACAAAATGAGAATCCAATATATTAAATTAGAGTCAATTCGGCTGGATTTTTTAAATAATGGGAATAAAAGGGTTCTACCCAAAAAATACCGGAATTTAGAAGGTACGGTTTTATGTGGTCTACCGTAAAAAGTGGTTAAATACAGATTATTTTTGGTAAGAAGGGTTTATTCATAATTAAATTCCAAAATTACAACAAAACCAATGTAAAAACGAGTATAAAATCCCTAAAATACAGAATATTGTGTATATGGGGGGATATACCAAAACGTGGACCGACATATACCATTTGTAATACCAATCACCTTATGAGTAGTAGAAATGGAGTAGTGTGCAAATATTTAATATTGCGAACTTTATCGTGATTTCAACAGTATCTTGAAGAGTTTTATGTGAGTACCTGCCTATTGGCCTACCTCCCAGTGGCTGAGCCACAGGCGGAAAAGCGCCCACCAGCGCACCAGCACCGAAGTACTGTACCAAACGGAGAGCATGCAGAAGGCACACTCTCCACAACCACCGCGAAGCTCCCCAGGGGGCCACACCAACTATCAGGCTGGATCAACAGATCCAGGGGCACCTGACACCCGCGGTACGGAAAAACTCCGCTCAGGCTCGAGACCGGAGCCTCTCCCAATTCGACACACGTCCGGGCTGGCATCCCAAAACAAAAATAAGCAACGGCGATAACCGCAAGTGGCAAGGAAAAACCTGGCCAAAAGCAGTTACAAATACACAAATCACAAACAATTAACATGCTGTTCTCACGGACTGCACAAAGGTCCCAAAGGACCGCGGCATCGGACATCACAACACAAACAATGAACAAAACTGCCCTCACGGACAGCCTACACTACATCCACAGGACGAGTGAAGCACATGAAGTGGAAACCACGAACCACCCACGATGCACAGACAACCGCAGGCAGCACGTACACCACCTACAACAGCCAACAACCGCCGATAACCGCACCAAGACTAGCACCGCCACCCGGTGCACCTACCCACCACCATCCTAAATGCTTCACGAGCAAAACTACTTAAACAACTAAAGGTCCGATCGTCTTCAAGTGTCCTACTGAAAACCCACCCCGCCCCTCCATTCGATATACCCATACTTGCTAAATCTCTAATGTCATCATAGTAACAGCGTTCCGTCAGTATATGCTTCCAGTCCTCGGTCATCCCGCACCCACATAAATCCGTCTGCGACAGGCCTCTTTCATGTCACGTCAGTAAGAAACCAGTACTTAAGCCAAAGCGAAAGTCTGGCCGGTCCACTACGAACGTTGCGTCACGAATAAATTCGTACGTCACCCTCCCTTTGCCACTGTTCGTCCACCTTGTCCTTCCACATATCAACAACACAATCCCGAAGGAAAGTGCTGTACCACCTACCCTCCCCATCCACCAGATCAGAAGGCCTGAGCCAATCATCCTCATCGAACTGCAAACCACGCTTATGCTTATACATGATGGCCCTACATCTCACTTCAAGATTAAGCGGCGCGGCGCCAAGCAGCACCTGCAACGCCTCTGTTGAAACAGTGCGACACACTGACAAGCACGCTAACATGACGACCCGCCCGAAGACAGAAGAGGCAGTTCTGTACCATATAGGTGCACCATCGTGATTTCAACAGACAGGCGGACATGGTTAAGGGCAGCCCCCATGTTGAGACACTCTCAAGAGTGTCTCATTAAAATTTCAAGTGAAAAGCTCAATAGCCGACTTATTGTGTCAGCATGAAGAGTGCTTCTCAAACTTTAAACGTATTCTTTTAAAAGCAGCGTTTTTACGATTGGTGGACTCAAAAACTATTAATCCAATCGGTTTCGATAAATCCAATCCGTGAAGATTTTTTCCCTATTTTTATACCATAAAGTGGAGTGTATATTACATTTGTCATTCTGTTTGCAACACCTCGAAATGTTCACCGGAGACCCCACAATGTGCCCGTCTGTTGAAATCACGATATAGAGCTCGCATTGTTAATACTCCTAGGATGTTTGGAATTAAAAATGGGATAGATCGTTCCACGTATTGGTGTTGCCTCCATATAACGGTACCTCCAATTTTCGGTATTTTGGTGAATTTGGGCAAGTTTTCCAAACAAATTGACTGTAATTTTGTATTTTGGGTTCTCATTGTATAACACATTTCCGTACTAACAATTTTTATACCCTTCAGGGGTATTATGCCTTCGTGCATATGTTTGTATCAGGCGAAAGGAAGCGAGATAGACACATGGTTCCTTTTGAGAGAATGCATAGAATCACTTTCTGAGTTGATTTATGCATGTCCGTCTGTCTGCCCGTCTGTCTGCCCGTCCGTCTGTCCATGTGTTCTTGTGAACAAATTACAGATTGCATTTATGAGCCGATTTAGATAAAATTTGACATAGCTCACTTATTTGGCCCAAGGACGAACCCTATTGAAATTGGAGAAAATCGGTTCAGATTTAGATATAGCTCCCATGTATAGTTTCGTCCGATTTTTGTTGTAAATGGTGCACCAAACTTCCAGTATTTGTCCGATTCAAACAAAATTTTGCACAGCGTACTGAATTAGGTCCAGATTGATGTCTGTGAAGTTGTATGGAAATCGGTTCAGATTTAGATATAGCTCTCATATATAGTTTCGTCGAATTTTTGGTAAATGATGCATCAAACACCCAATATTTGTCCGATTCAAACAAAATTTTTCACAGTGTACTGAATTAAGTCCATTTTGATGTCTGTGAAGTTTTGTTGAAATCGGTTCAGATTTAGATATAGCTCCCATATATATTTTCGTTCCATTTTATGTAAATGGTGCACCGAGCAGCCTACGTCTCAATTAGGTCCATATTTCTACATACTTCCACACACATTATTTTGCTCGATTTTATACAAATGGTACACAAAAGAATCCGATTGACATGCAATTTTTCATAGATTTCAGAATGGAATGTGTATGAGTTTTTAATTAATAATTGTGCTCTAAAGATCATATGTCTGTTCTATCTACAGGATATTGCTTATATTAGCATCTCTTGTATGTATCCAAAGTGGTGAAGGTATCATATAGTAGGCTTTTGATCCACGTCTAAGGGTATCAACTATAATATGGTACCCCCTATATGGACATTTTTGGCACGTTTTTCAATCAAATAGGCTCTAATTTTGTATTTTCTCACCGAATTGGCTGTAATTTGGTATTTTGTATTCTCAATGGCTCACTACCAAAAATATCAATACCATACAACGGTAGCCCCACTATTGGATATTTTAAGAATTTCAATAATCTTTTTCTCACGATTATTTTTTTGTATTTTCAAGTTTTTTTTTAGTTCTTTTCCTAGGATGACCCATTATTTTAGATATTTTGATTGTCATCCTCATGGTGAACATCGTTTTTACTTGTTTATTCTTCAAACAATAAATTCTGACAGTCAATGAAGTCTTCATCTGGCCTTGCCGGTGAACCTTATGATTAAACCTTGGTTTATTTCACTACTTTAGAAACATTGGTTGCTTTTTTAAAGCATACTTTTAGGCGTTGCACTTTAGATATATTTACTTATTAGGGATGCCAAATTTAGATTCTCATAAGGTGAAAGAAATACATAATATGTTATTGTTTAATATAACAACGATAATAATAATGGTTCTTAAGCATAACCACAGTTGACGTAGAAGTGGGAATTATAGAACTAATATTTGTTTAACATTAGTGCATAGTAAATTATTTAAATTGAACCGTAGTCGGTGACACCATAAAATATAAATTCTCACGAATATGTGGGAATAGTTTTCTTCTACTCATGTGTAGAAAGAACGCAGAGCCAAACTTTAACATTTAATAAAAACGGTTTGATATCAAGAAGCTTGATAGAAGAATTTTTCATGCCTTGAGCTACTTCCGGAATTTTTGTTGTTATACCCTTCACCACATGGGGTACAGAGTATTTTGTCTTTGTGCATATGTTTGTAACAGGCAAAAGGAAACGAGATAGGCACATGGTTCCTTTTGAGAATATGCATAGAATCACTTTCTGAGTCGATTTACGCATGTCCGTCTGTCCGTCCATGTATTTTTGTGAACAAAGTACAGGTCGCATTTATGATCCAATTTGGATGAAATTTGGCATAGGTCGCTTATTTGTCCCAAGGACGAACCCTATTGAAAATGTGAAAAATCGGTTCAGATTTAGATATAGCTCCCATATATATTTTCGTTCGATTTAATCTAAATGGTGCACCGAAGTCCCTATATATCTTCCGATTTGCACGAAATTTGGCACATTGTAATGAATTAGGCCTGGAATGA